GCAAAATAAGACATAAAAGAAAAAAATAAATCAACATAAAGCTAACTGTTAGTAAAATGTAAATAAAATGTCCCTAATTTTCTTTCAGATATGTCCAACTATTATACATGTAAAATTTTTAATGCTACCTGATAAAGTTTATAAAGTGGATTTTATTCTCAAATTTGTTTTATAAATTATGTTTAATAAGAATGCATCCTACTTGCGGATCTATTTTATTCTTAGAGGGTTATTATAAAAACGGAGTTCAGATATAAGTTGATTGAATTTTACTTGGATTTATTCAGCTCCCATTTGCTGATAGGTCCTTAATTTTTTTCATTAATGTTCCTTAAAAGTACTTAATTTCCATGTGCAGAGATGTGTATGAAGCCTGAATATAACACTTCAGTAGGATAAAAAGAAAGAAACTCATCAGGCAGCATGTGAGGAAATGTCACAATCTACAGCAATTTCACCAGCATCTGTATGCCCGCCCTACTTTGACTAAAATTTTGTAGAAAAGAAAAGTTTATGTCTGATCAATCCTTCATGGCTTGATGCAGTGTAATTGAAATGAAGATTTGATAATGAAGGTAAATGGTTTCTATCTCAGAGCATTACTATTGATAAAATAGGGATTAAAAACTTTAAAGAGGAGCTAAAATCACTATCAATTTAATCTGTCTTCCTTCTTCATCTTTTTTGTTGGTTCAACAGCTCGGGTTGAGACTTGGTCTTATCCAGACATCTCCTCCGAGCATCTCTGCTTTTAGCAACTGTTTTCCAGTTTTTGAGCTTTAAAATGTTCAGGTCATTTTTAGCATAATCCGTCTCACTGGAGGTCTATCCTGAGGTCTGGTTCCCATGGGCTTTGTCAGGAAGATTTAGTTACAACACCGATCTTCATGCATTCTGGCCAGATGACCATCCCATTTAAACCTCTGTAGTTTGAAGACATTTACTACATTAGATTGTCTCTAGATCTTGTATAGCTCTAAATTAGATTTTTTCCAAGATCTATTCGCACAGACCTCACCAAGTATGCAATGCAGTATCCTTCTCTCAAAAATTCCCAAAGCTTCTTCATCACGTAAAGTCAGTGCCCTACTTCCGACACATAAGTCTGAATGGATCTTAAATCTTAGAACACATAAGTCTCATAATGAAATAATTTAGTTCTTAACTTGAGGAAGCTATATTTTAAATAGCTCTTCAGGCTATGAAAAATCTATTTGCAGCAGAAATTCTTTTAAGTATTTCAAAAGTTATCTCATTTTTACAATTATCTCCTCTCTCAGATAAGTGAAACTCTACACTTCAAATTTAGGCTAGTAGCTTTCAAGTAGCAAATATTTCAATCTAGACAATAGCAAGTAGACTTAGCTAATATTTCAATCTAAGCTATTAGCTTTCAAATCTGTAGCTACCAGTTTCTAAATGACTAAGTGGTAAGTCAGATTTTAAACAAAGCAAATATTTCATTTTATTTTCTTTAACAGTAAGGTTAAATCTTTTTGCACTTTTTTTTCAGTGCCATGAATGCCTTTTTAAGCACAGGAACAGTATGGACAACATTTCAAATATCATCTGCATAAGCCAATAATTGAATGGTCTTTTTAAAAATATTTCCTCTAGTATTGATTCTAAGATCTCTGATAACTTTTTAGAGTGCAATATTAAATAGGAGGCATGCTAATGGATCCCCTTGTCTTATTCCATTCTTGACATTCCATGGTTCCCTTGTCTTAGTCCATGGTTCTGTAATGTCATCTTGTAAGCAGATTTCTATCTTGGTTTCATAAAGAGATGAAGCCATCAATGCAACAAGTTTTTCTGGAATATTTAATTCACGTATGCACTCAATTGAGTAATTCCCTATTAATGGCAATCTTATGCAGTTTTGAAACTGATAAAAAGATTGTGTGTTTCAATTCCAAATTCTCTGAATTTCTCAAAAATTTACTTTCAGTTGAAAATCTGCACAGTATTTGATCCCCTTCTAAAGCCATGTTGATGATCACCAATTGCATTATTAACAAAGGTAAAAGTTTATTAAGCAGAATAGTTGAAAGTATTTTATAGGAGTGCACAGAAGACTAATTCCTTTGTAATTACTGCAATCAAGCACATCTTCCTTTTTGTTTATCTAACAGATGGTACCAAGTTCCCTTTCTATGAGTGTCTCATAATCCCAGATGAGTTGAATTAAGTCCTTGATTAGTAGAGTACAACTAGATCCGGCAGATTTTAATAGTTCTGAAGAAATATTGTCTGGCTTAGGAAATTTATTGTTTTTAAATTTCTTTATAACAGGAATCACCTCTTCCAGAGAGAGGCAGCAGATCAGGCCCTAGGTTTCTGCTTGCTATTTCACTATTGTGTGTATATAGGTCAGAATTCAGCAGCTCATCCAAATGCTCCCTGCATCTCTGTAGAGTGTCATTTTTATCACTTAAGATAGAACCATCTTTCTATGTACAAATTGTTGTTTTTAGTTTAAAACTTTTCTCTCCATGATTGATTTCAGGAAAGAAAGCTCTGCTTTCTGCTACTTCTCTAAGATGTTCAACATCTGTTAGAAGATTTTCGTGAAAGCTCCTTTTTATAACACAGTGGTTATTTTTTTCATTTTTTCTAGCACAGTTATATTCATCAACAGGTAATTTGGTATATTTTATTTGAAGCATATTTTTAAGGCCAGAAGCAACCTACATTTTTGATTAAACCAATTGTTACTCGTTCCCTTTTTTACTCTTCCTAAAATTATGTTGCTAGTTTCAATAACAGTCATTTTTAACAGATTCCATTTCTCATCTATATAATCCAATTTCTCCAATTTGAGGTTTTTGAGTTTCCAATTCATTCTGTTATCTCTGCTTTAAATCTTTCTCTTTTAAAAGCAGACAGTTAAGTTTCTCTAATTTTAACCCCTGATTTTTACAGGCATTAGAAATTCTTGCTCTGATTTTCATCATTACCAAGTAATGGTCTGAGTCAAAATTCGCTCCACAGTATGACCTGGCATCCAATATGTCTGAGGCTTGTCTGGTATAAATTAAGACATGGGCAATCTGATTGAAAGTGTCTCAATCTGGAGATCTGCAAGTCATATTGAATCATTCTTCCTCCAAATTTCCATTTTCAATTTTTAAAGAATGATCTATTGAAACTTTAAAAGAAATTAATGAAGTAAATGATGACTTTTGCTAACTTTATGAAGGAATTATCATGAAAGTTGAAAACATTGACTGAAGCATGTTATTAAAAGTGATTGAGAAAATTATGCACAAAAACGAGCTGACATGTTTAGAGATGAGAATGCTAATGCACATCTGTATATGGGAAGATTGTGACAAATCTGCTGACTAAGTGGAAAATTTTACTTCATCTGCCAAAAATTCTATATAAAACCACCAGATATTAAATATTTTTTTTAATTTTGAAACCTCTGCATTGACAGCATTTTTACCCCTTATTCAACAGTTACTCAAGCCTTTTGAGGGTAAATAAAAGTAATAACCTGACAAAAAATGCTGATCTGACTGAAATAAATCACTGGTGGATAACCTGACAAAAAATACTTCTGAAATGCTGGATCGTGACTGTTAAAAAGCAAGAGATGAAATATGAGGACTGTAATAAAACTGTTTATTGTCTAAAATAAAATAAAGCTGAAAGAGAAAGATTAGAGTGCATTATATTTTTAAAAAATCTTTTTATTTATAATTTGTGTAGTCCAATTTCCACTGTCTGCTCTCCATGTAACATGACTATGTAATTCACAGAAGAGGAATCATTTACCGTTTTGTTTGTTACTCTGGCAATTTGTACATAGTTTGAAATTGACTACATTATTACATCTAAATGTAATTTAAGAAACTGAATTACTGATTAGCGAGGAATCATGTCATTGCGGGATTTCTGTTTCTGTTTCAAAAGTAGAACTACTGTTTATTGAAACAAATCATATTTAATGGGACAGAGGGCTGCATGAGGCTTGAAGGCTAAAGGACCAGAAAGCTAAATGCAACTTGCGAGCCACGGTTTGGCCATGCATGTAATAAAAGTTTATTATAGATTGATAACTGTTTTGGCTTTAAAATATAAGTTAATAAAGAAATTTTATAAAATTGAATAAATGCAGTTTTTGTATTCAAATTATTCATTGCTTTTATCTGCTAAAATATCATTACAAAATGTATTACTTAGCAAATATTTATCTTAGGTATTTTTTCCTTTTTATATTTGGGTTAGCTTTGAAGCTAAAAAGCTGTGATATGATCTATGAATAAAAATTATCAACCAGTTTTATAATTCAAACATATTGAGTTTTCTAGTTAAAAAAAACAATTTGATTGTTCAACCCAGTTAATTATTATTTATAAATAGTTGAAATTATTTGATAGTGTCTATTATAACTAATCAGTTTAGTGATTGTGTATCAGTGTAAATTTAATTTCTTTTTGTCATTTGAATACAGCTGCATTATAAGGAATCATTAAACCTTTCTTTAAATGGTCACATGTCAGACTGTCATTAAGCTGCACAGATTTTAGGGGTGAATTTCACAGTGTCACACATTCCTTGTGTTCAGTTATTGGCTGTATATATACATGTATGATGTGTGAAAGCAAATGTAAGCAGAATCTGAATTTTATAAAATATCATTATAGTTTGCCTAGTTTACCAAAGTACTGATGAAATCAGTTCATCTTTACAAAGAAACAGTTTGTGCATGAAAATTATGCTGAAAATAGTTTTTTTGATAATTATTTTGTTTTAAATGCTACAGCCTGCTTAGTATATCAATAACTCAGTCTTGTAATTTTCTTATCTAATACTTTTTGCATACTATTTATTTTGGAGAATGCATAGAAAATAGTGAATGCCTTTGTATTTTGTAAGTAGATACTTATATCACTAGTCATTTATTAAATGAATTTGCAAGCTACTTAAATTATAGTCATGTAAAACATTTGTAGTTGGTTTCTTTTACCAACTTATATTTCTTTGTCAAGATGAGTCTCCACGTACATGCAGTGTTTTTTTGGAATCTGGTGGTATGGAGCTTTTCCTTGATGTTCTCAGGGTAAGTTTGTTATAGTTTTGCAGTATCTTTTTGTTATATTTATGTAATTTGGTACTTTTCTGTTAAAGCCATGATGCTTTTTCTTGTTTTGGTAGTTTCTTTGGCATCAGATATCTAGTCAGTATTGTGTGCTTTCTTCATTATGACCATCGCCTGTACAACTAGGTTTTTCATTTAATCAATATCTTTTTTTCACTGCAATGAACACCATTTTGTGGGATTTGCTAGCAGATGAACATGGGACTATCTTGTTTCTTTAAGGAAGAATACAATCTTCCCAAAGAAAGACTGTGTGTTTTAATAACCATCTTATGAAATTAAAATGTGACCTGAAACAAAAATGGCTATGCAGCCTTTGTTCCTGCTGGGACGAAAAAGGTGTCTAGGCACAAATATGTTTTGATGAAACAAAAATTCCTTTCATTACTGGTAATTCATTTACTTATGATGTCAATAATTAGCATCTATTGAATTTTGCAAACCAAAGCGTGCTTCAAATAAATCACAACAAAAAGGTTGACTGCATTAATTGTATGAGAAAAATGTTTGCCAGTCCTTTCCTCGTTATATTATCATAATACTGAAATTGATGGATGCTAAAAATTATGGAAATTAGTCATAAATTAGAGAATATTTTCTTATCGCCCTTCCTGATTTATCTGATTTTGGTTTGTTTAGTCAAGCTAAATGTGTAAGCCAAAATGTGCCAATGTGGTGCTGAAAATACATGGTATAAACCATACCATGTATTTTATGGAAAATTACCTGTAATTTATTCTCATCTTTATTTTTATTAATTGGTCTGAAGAATTATTGTACAAAATATTTAACTTTTTTTAGTGCATAGTAAAGAATGCTAATATAAAAATTTGTTCATGCATTTTGAAAAGAAACATGTGAAAATATTTCATAGATAATTTTTGCGCAAATGTTTTCATAATTCTTGTCATAATATGGTTATATATTTGACTTGCTTTTTTTGTTAATTTTTTTAGAAATTTCCTGGTGAGAGTGCTGTTGAAACAAAAGTACTAGGTCTTATGGTATGTTTAAAATGTGTATATTTGTCTAATACCATTTTATAAAATTATTACTAATACCTTTAGTGTTGTTTGAAATCTTTACATCTGTCTAATACCATTTTCGTATAAAATTATCACTAGTATCTTTAATGTAACCCAGCATCTTTTAAACCTGAGAAAATGTTTTGTAAAATAAAATACTTTTTCATTTTATTTTGTATTCTCTGTAATGGCTGCCATTTACCTATATTTATTTGCCAGCATTTATCAAATGAAATTTGTTATCACCACACTATTATCTTCTATCGCATCAAAATTATAAATTGGCAGTGGCATTTCTGTAAATGTGTAATGTTGATTCACTGATTAAGTCTTATTCCTGTAAAAAGAATGATAGTACAAACTTATCCTTTTGACTTCCTTGTAAGAAGTAAAAGAAGTGTTGTTATCAGGAAAAATTTCGGGTATCATATTTCAAAGAAAATAACCATTTTGACAGCTTTCGAATCCATTTTAATGATATTTTTTCCTAACATGTACTTGCAGACAGAATAAAGGACTCGTTTTTCCCAGAACAGAGTCAGAAGAGATTTTTTATGACATCTGTTTGTATATGTATGTAACTGTTAAATCGAATATCCTTAGAACATTGAGATTTCGTATATGGGACTTGTAGTTGTGCACCTTCCATTTTGGTTGCAATCGACTGTGTTAAACTTATATAAATATATATATACTGTATATGCACACGTACTGTATTACCCAGCTCATTGAGCTCAGTTTTGTATTTTTATATGTTGGTAAATTGAGCATTTTTTGGTTTAAAAGTGATCAGATTATTCTTATTAGTGATTGTTCTTATGTTCCAGTTTAAGGTTTTTATGCCTTTTATTTAATTTGCAAACAACAGTCGTAGAATTATCAACAGTTTAAAAGTTTAAATAAAAGTTTAAAAGCCTAATGAGGTCATCATTTGTTTACATTTGAAACTCTTAGCAGGATAGGGAATTAGCCAGTTTGTGCACCAACTTCAGTGTCCTTTTTGCAAAGTGGAACCAAATGTAAACTTTCAGTTTTGTGCACCAAAAAATGTCTTCTTGTTGTTGGCCGAATTACTTTCTTTTGCATAAAAACTCTTAATATTTTAATTGAAAAAAAAAAAAACTGTATTTGGAGTTTTATGTATTTTTGTATTGCCACAAAGTGAGAACTGAACTAATAGAATGAGAAATATATCTCTTAAATGAAATGCAGCAAAATTGTGTATAATTTAATAGGTCACACAAGTCATGTGGCGTTTTCATCAGATATTGTGTTATAGAAATACAGTGGTCCTCACATAAGGAATGTACAAATGATGCTTTCTGTTATGCTATCTGTTAATCCGGGTGTTTTTTCTTTAAGGTTACTTTTGAAATAATTTTAATCCATTAGCCCATTCCAAAATTGTGAAGCATCTTACAAAATTTTAGAGTATACTAAAAGCATTTTCAGTATTGGAAATGACCAAAATTTACTAATTAAACAGTTGTACAAAAGTGTGTACATGCAATGTGTGTGTAAAACAAGGTTGAGTTTCTTCTGGAAAAAATCTGGAAGAAAAAAAAAAAAAAAAAGAAAAGAAAGAAAAAAGAAAGAGAAAGAAAATAGTGGAAATAGCTGGACGAAATTAATATTGATGCATCTGTGGAGCTGCTAAAAAGAGATAAATTTACTAATAACAATTTCAATTTATTTGAAAATAAGTATTTTATTTGCAATAAAAGGCAAATTAAGTAATTTTCCCCCAAAATTGCATATAATGGAGCTAGATGTTTAAATTAAATAGATATACGTATATAGTTGTATTATAATATAAACAAACATAATACTGTTAATATGAATTAAGTAAAAAAGAATCAGTTTTTTTTTTTTTTTTTTTTCCTGGTCAGTTTTCATGATAGAAGAAACTCCCTAAATCTGCTGAGAATACACCATTTCCAAAATTTAATAAATAATATAAATTTGTAATAAAATTTATAATAAATAATATAAATATGTAAAATGTTGGTCTTGGTCTACCCTTGAGTTTTGTAAATTTACACGACTTTTTTTTTTTTTTTTTTTTTAAATTTTTATTTGGGAAACCCACTACAGAAATAATCTCTTCATAAACTTCATCAAATGCAACAGAAGTTCGCATATTTTGAATTGCATCTTTTACTTCCTCTACTTTTTGACTAGAATATGCTATATCTAAGTTAGTTTTATGTAAAATATCAAATAGTACATCAGTATAACTAAACACTTTTGGCAAAAATATTTAGGAGAAAATTACCGTTAAATTCTTCAAAAAACATGTGATAACTCTTTGCAATATTAATTGTATCGTTATCCCAGCCTTCTGGATTCTCAATAATATTTTCAAATAAATCAGATAGGCCTTGCCTTTTGCTTTTTATGGTATTTACCAAACGAGATGAATAGTTCCAACATGTTATAGCTAATTTTGGAAATTTTCTTTTAATAATTTCATTTAAAACGTGATTTCTTTTTGTAGACACCGAAAAAAATGAGGCTATGCCAGAAATTGTTGCAAAAAATAATTTACAATCATTTATAAACAATACAGATTGCAACAGAACTATATTAAGTACATGTGCGGAACAGTGCACAAACATAGCTTCTTTTACTTTTTTCTGCATCCCATTCAATGCTCCTGCTATGACTGCCGCCCCATCGTACGTTTGAGCAATGAGTTTATTCTCAGACCCCCCAACTCAAAATCGTTTCTTGCACAACATTACACAAAGCCTCCGCTGAACGATCACCACTAACATCTTTAAAAAACAAAAATCTTTCCACTGATGCACTACAATTATGAACTCCATTCGACACAAGTCAAGTTATTAACATATCGTAGCACAGCCGATAATTGCGATTTATGAGATATGTCAGATGTTTCATCCAGCATAATAGCAACGAATGGCGTTTCTTTTACCTCATTTCTAATTTCTGAAATTACAATATTTTTTATCGATGCAATAATATCATTTTATATTCTATTAGAGGTTCCAGAAAATACAGTTGCAGTTCTTAGATGGGTTGCTAAAAGGTCATCATATTTACTAATTGAAGTTATTAATTTTATATAATTTCCTCATTTAAGGGAATTTATATTCTCGTGTCTATGAAATGCATCTTCTTGTTTTGCTAAGTAACAAAATATATCTATTAATCTATTGGAATATTTCTATTTCTTGTTACTTTTTCATTGTGTTGAACAATCGATGAAGCCTTTTGTTGATCTAACATTAAATCTATCCTGGCGGTACCAAATGTTTTTAATAGTATTACGGCATTTATGCGAGATTGTGTTTTTTCATGTTTCTTTGCAGCTTCGTGGAGATGATTTAAATCACTGTAGCCTTGTTTTGTCCAAATATTCTTGTCCTTTCAATAACAACAAAAAGTAAACATGGCCAACAGTACAACTTATTCAATTCACTACAACCGGTGTCTCGTCTCGAAAATGGATTTTCCAATAAATCTTTAATTATTGAGACATCTGAGTTCTCCATTCTGAAAAGGGTTATTTATTATTAATATAAATTTAAAGAATACAATAAATAAAATATTTACCTACGAGTAGTCTAGGTATAACTATAAAAACAGCTAAACTTACTAGAATTTTACTAGCACTGAAGCAAAAGTCATGTCCTGTGTTGTATATCAGTGGTGAAAAAGCAATGCTTTGGGCTTCCACGAAAAATTTATATTTTCAGCAAACGTAGCACCACACGGCGCCCGCAACTGCGGTGCCTCATCATCATCCTGATGACATCGGGATGAGTCATCAGGATGCTCGTTGGTGCCGACAAACTGAATGCCTATTCCACATGCAGAGGATTTCCCTGCACACTCGCACAATAGAATGAACTGTTTCTTGTTCAATCAGTGGATTAAATTATATTTAGTAATTGTTTTTAACATTTAAAAATCATATATTCTTCGAAAAACATCTTGACAGTTTTTAAAAACAAAACCAGGGATATGGTGTTAAGACAGATATAACTTGTATACTGTCTGTAAGACACAATAAATGATAAAATTTGAACTGATCTGTTAAAATTTGTTTCTTTTTTGTCTAACAAAACAAAATTTTTTTTCAGCGAATTATTTCTATAAATATAATACATCACTGAAATTACTTTACCGCACTGAAACATTTCCCCTTATATTGATGAAATACTTCTTTTATATTTCCATAAAAACAAAATCTCACAATATATAAATTTAAACATAATTCATCTGCAAAATTATGGCCAAGTTAATCAGTTAAACAACCAAAAGCGCTTCAGCACGTAAGTCCCCCCCCTCTAATACAACGCTTAAATAAACCGTACCTTCGATGATTCTTCTGAATGCCAAGTGCAGGAAAATAGCTGCACTTGCCTCAGTGCTGCAGTATGCTGTGCTTCTCCAGTAGCCCATACATAAAAGCGTGATTTTCTATTAGTGCACAGTGCAAACACATCAAAAAACTTCCTATGTTCGTTTTTGCTTTTGAACGCGCTACATGGTGGCAGCGCCTAGTACCGTACGCACTAAAGCAAGCTAAATCAACATAACTATTTGAATATTCTAAATATTTATTATATACCATATAAATAGGTGCAGAAAATTATTGTCTCTCATTTTGTCAGGGTGTGCACATAATGGCCATCCACTTTTTTGTACCCTGAAATACCATCTGGTCACTGTGTTTACTGACTTCTGATTTTGCTTCTGGAATTTTCTTCTAAAATACTTTAAGTTTATGATGTGGAATTAATTTCCATTTCTGAAGAAATTCCTTGGTGGTTGCAGCTGACATAAAATATATTCTCCTGGTCCTCACTAGGAGAAATTTCTTTCATGGTTTTCTTATTTTTGTGTTCAAAGAGGACTTCCAATTCTTCAGTAGTAATAATATTAAGAAATATGTTTATTTACTTGCTTCTCTATTCATTATGTTTGTAATGCACAAATTATTTTTGTATTTATGTACCATTAAAGTAGGAAATGAAATTAATTTAGCTGTGCATTTGCAATGTGATGAAATTTATAAGTAGTTACTTATAAATTTTCAAACTCAATATAATGCGATATTGAGTTTGTTATACGGGACATTCGTTTTATAAGGCACTACTGTAACTTTATTTTTTTAAATGTATAATTAATTATAAATGTGAGTTTAAATTATTATATAGTGATTTAAAAAATGTATTACTTTTGAATTAAAGCATATATGTTGTTAAGTCATAAATATTTTTCTTATGTTTATTATATATTTGTGTATATGTGGATATATATATATATAATGTTTTTCAGAATAACATTGCTGAAGTAAACTATTTAAGAGAGCAATTGATGCATGAGGATTTTATTTCAGTTCTGAAGTAAGCATTATTTTTAAGCAAAATTTATATCTTTTTATCTTCTTGCCTATATTCCATATTGGTAGTCAATCTGTTCAGTATTTTACTGTTTTTCAGCTTTTTCATATTTTCATTCTCTGGCTTGTAATTATTTAATCTGAATTTTTTAGTCAGTTAAAACATTATTTAGTTGATTTAAATTTAAATGTAATGTATAAAATTAAGAAGTATATTGATAATTTAATACATCATAATATTTTTTCATCTTGTGTTTGTGTGGAAGTCTGAGTAATAAATAAGTGATGCATTTATTGTTGTTTCAATACCCCTCTGCCTAAAAAAAGTTTTTGATTTTAACCATTTCAAATTATTAACAACCTTCTTTGAACTAATAGTTAATCCCTGAATCATTACTTTAATCTTGAAGAATTTTATGTTTATTATATATTATATATTTATTTATTATTTACTTCTTGTAGAATTTGTTATATTATATATATGTGTTTATTATATTTACATACAATAGAAATTTTTACTTCTTTAAGAAAAGATTCATATTTATTTAAATTATCTCAAACTGTGTAGTTTTTCTCTGAAATTAATAATAGTATAAATTGATATTTTCCCCAGAATTCAAGTTAGTATGCCTCTCTTATGTCTGTTAAAGCTAAGATCTCTGCCTTCATAATGACGTACATTAGAAAACTGTTTTTCTCTGGATCCTAGAATAATTAAAAATTAAAGTGAATATTGAATGCTGATAGTCTGTCAAATCACATATAATTAAAGGATACTTGTAGAGTACTTACAGAGAGCATATATATCTGGAATTACTCTTACAAAAGTAATTTACTTATTGTAACACCATGCCTCAACGAGTGCCACCTAGCGGAAGAAACACCAGCTAAAAAAAGACTATAGCCTTCAATCAGTGCACTGGAGCCATGAACTAAGCATGCTGTTCCCCGAGATTTACTTTGTAACTTAAATGTGTAATTATAATGCCCTTAATTGTAGTGTTTTATCTTAATTGCAGAGTTGCCAATTCTCTCGATTTAGGTGGGAGACTCCCGAATTTCGACCACTCTCTCGCCAACCCCATATATTTCTCCCAACATTTTCTTATTTAAAATTTCTCATGATTTATATGGAACTTGGCTTAATACTTCATTATATGAGCCAAAAAAAAAAAAAAAAAAAAAAAAAAAGATTTTGGATGTCTGAAAGCAATTGAATTTTCTCTAGATTATATCTAAAACAAAACCTGGTGAATCAGAGGAGAATTTCTGTTTTGTGAGTGAGAGCATATATATTCAGAAACGTCGTTCTCCAGTTCTCCAATGGGCATCGAGCTCCAGTGCATGTCATCTGGCATATATTAGCCAATGAGCACAAAGCAAGCTCAAGGCTGCTTTGTGCCTCATTGGCTAATTGGATGTTCTTTAGTTACTTTGTTCATCTGGTCCTGAGTTGTGTGAGTACACATGCCTTCGGGAAATAGTTTTAGAAATTATAATCTTTTGTTATAACTGTGAGAAAGGTGAAATACTCGTGTACGTTTCACAAATTGTACACAGTTGACTTTCCTTTCATTATTTCCTCAAGGAAAAGTAATAAATTTGCGATGTGTACCGTCTGTTGTTGCGATTTTTCGATTAAACAAAGAATTAAATTTTTCTTCGGAAGCAAAGGACAAAAAAGTTATTAATGCAGAATGTCTGTTCTCTGCCTTTTTACTGGCGCACAACCTGCCACTGAATGCATCGGATGACGCTGCAGCTTTATTTAGAAAAATGTTTCCCGATAGTGAAATACAGGTACAATTGTTAAAGGAATGGGTTTGAAAAATAAATCTTCAGTTATTGATTGCATTAAAACAGCTCCGTTCTGCCTCTCTATAGATGGAAGCAATAATACTGATTCAAAACTATATCCAATTGTTTCTTTTTTTAATCCAGAGTCTTCAGAAATTGAGTGCAGTTTTTCTTTTGTCCCCACTTTAGAAGGACATTCGACATTCGACAGCCTTTAATATAGCACAGCTAATTATTAAAACTTTAAAAGAAAATGCAGGCCTTCTGGATAATTGCTTCACACTTGGTGCCGATAATACACCAGTAATGGTAGGCTTGAAGACTGGTGTTGCAGGCATCTTAAGAAAGGAAAATTCAGATTTGCAGATTATGAGGTGCACCTGTCACCTCTTAAATTTAGCAGCTTCTTTACCAATAAATGTGGATGAACACATTGTTGATATTTATTATTATATCTTGAAAGGAGTTCTAAAAAGAAGGAAAAATTGAAACAATTCCAACAGCTGCATAATACTGAAATGAGAAAAATTTTGAAATGTGTGTACACACTGGCTGTCTTTAAAAAAATGCTTATCTAGAATCCTTGATCAATGGAACCCACTTCTTGCATTTTTTAAAGAAGAAGTAAATGCTTCGAGAGTTAAGATAAAAGGCTCTATTGAAAGTTATAAAATACCTAAGATGTAGTTACTACTTCCATTATTAAAAATAGGTTTGAGAAAAATAAAGTAATATCTGCACCATTCAGCAATTCAACTGGCAGTTCTCAAAATAATACTGCAAAATATAAGCGTAAAGCGGATACAAATTTCTCTCAAAATAAAAAAATTGCTCAACACACGAAACATTTTCCCATTACTGTAAGTTTATCTTGTGAAGAACAAATATTTATGTTTTTTTCTTCAGACCTTAACAAAGCTTTTTGCTTTTTTTTTACAATTAATTTTGCCATCGTTCGATGTTCTTGACACAGTTCTACAAAGCAGAATTCCATTAATTCATGTTTTGCAATCAATGATTTATGATCTGTTTAAAGACATTTTATCAAAGTTTGTAAAATCAGTCTGTGTTTTGTCCTGTAATTCTATAGATGATGTGATTAATGATGAAATAGAAAATCAGAAGAAAGATGAAAAATTTGGTAATAGGAGCTGCAACTACAAAAGTAGTGGAAGAACTTTCAAAAGAAGAACAAAAATAAGTTTTATCTTCATGTTAGAAGTTACTTCTGTCGAGTATGTGATTACATGCTACATAAATTTCCAGTCAACGATGAAGTGATTTTGTATGCTAAAGTTGCTGATGTTTCTGCTCTAGAAATGCATCTTTTTCTGATATAAGGTACTTTTTGAACAGATTTCCTGTGTTACTTCATTTAGTCATGAAAGATGATGATATTGATGTTGCCACTGATATATTGCAGTCTACATTTAGAAAACTTGTATGAAGTTATAAAATCAACTAGAATTGACACCTAGTGGAGTTTATTTGGAAAATTGAAAGGTGCTGATGGAATTTTAAAATATAGTGAACTGTCTAGAATTATGTTGGCCATCTTGACAGTTCTCCATAGTAATGCAGACTATGAGAGGATTTTCAGTGTTGTTGCGAAAACGAGGACTAAATTTAGATCTAATATTAGTGATGACACTTTAAAAAAACTTTTATTAGCAAAAGCAGGCCTATGTGGCAATTGCTATGAACAAAATCATGAAGTTTCTTTCTTAGCGAAAGCAAAATCTGCCACTGTTCATAACATTTGTACGAAAACTGATTAAAGTGTCCGCCCTGTTTTTTTAAACGATGCAAGTAATAAAAATGTTTTTTATGTGTAAGGTATTTTTGTGTTTCTTGCAGTTAAGAATTAGTAACTATTTAAAGTTAATTCATTATTAAAAACTATATTTTTATCATTTAAAAAGTCTTTTTTAACATTGTGAAAAATCTCCTGATTTTTGAGTGTCATAGGTTGGCAAGTATGTAATTGTGTTTTGTTAATTAAAGCTAATTTTAAGAAGGCCAGGTGAGTCTCTTGTTTATGGTAGTTTTGGTTATATTATTACTTTTTGAGAGGATAGAATAAACAATAATTCATTGTATTTTGAACACAAAGATTTATAATTTATATTTCTTTTCCTTAACACCATTCTTAATTTCAGTCTTATACTCTTGCGTTAACCATTTACGAATCACTTAGTTTTCTTGAAAACTGTTACAAAGATATACTTGTTTTTAATGAAGAAATCAAATGGTAATGTAATATCTATACAAAATATGCAATGGTTTTTATTTTTGGGGCAAAGTGATGTAGAAAGAAATTAAGTATTATCAGAAAACCAGCATATGCAGAGATTGACTTTTTTGTATCTATAAATATTGACTTTTTCTATCTAGATTTTAGTAAAATGATGTTGATTTCTGTCATTGTTATTAGTTTAGAAATTTCTACACATTATTTATCAAGAATAATTATTATAGCAGATAAAGTTTCAATTAGTATGTAACTTCTCTAATGTTTCAGCCAACATTTTCATTATATAAGAAGCAGAAAACATTATCTAACTAATGATAATGATGGGAGCAGACACTAAGTAATTAATGTTTGGTACTTGAAGAAATGATTTTATAATGCTTAATAATATGCAATGCGGATAAAATATTTGACTTATTTGTTTGTTTACTTCTTTGTGGTACTATTTCATGAAATACATCATGGCAAGGAGAGCAAGTTAATGCCTGTCGGTGGCAAGAGCCTTGAGTACCATACAGGTAGCAGTCCAGCTTTGCTCAGTTCTGCCCCTAATTTTGATGGAGAGCACCCTGGCAGTACCATCCCAAGGGTCTCCCAACCCTCTTCCCTACCACAAACCTCTCGAGAGGACTTTCGTATTGCCACATATTTAGAGTGTCTGCATCCTGCACAGACACTATACATTTATAAGCATCCATGTATTATCCGGGATTCAAACCCGGACCCTTCGGTACGGCAGTTAGCGTCACTAAACACTGTCCCGGTTAGGCAGCTTCATTTGCTCATAAGTGTAAATCTCTTGGAGTTTGAAACATCCTGAAGCTGAAAAATATTAGAATATATTTAATGTAAATTTCTATAAATAGATATCGAAGAAAAACTGATTGGGAATCTGTAATTTTATATTAATTTAATTTACCTGCCATATTTTTTATTTGTGTTTTAAAAATACATTTGTCTTGTTATAGATTTATTCTAATTTGAGAAAGATGAAATTTTTAATAATGAGTAAATTTTGAAATTAGCTTTAATTTTAAATAAAAAAAAAACTCGAGCATAATGAAAAATGAAGTTATGTATTTCTTTACATGTAAGCTTATTTATTGTACATGAAATTCATTTGCCTGAAATGTGCAGTGCAGTTATCTTAATATGTAATGCTGCTGCAAGACTTTTCTAACACTCATACAGGTCTAAAAAAGTATCTTTCTATTTGCTAATTATGTTCAACAGTAAAACATATCATCATAATACAATATGCCCAAGATATAAAAAAAAAAAAAAAAAAAAAAAAAAAAAAGAAATTCTTAAAATTGCAAACAATAAAGCTTTATTGTTATCACAGTGATATTTTTAATAAAACCGTGAGAATTTTGTTATGAAAAAAATTTCTCACTATACCTTGAGTCATTATTATTTTGGAGTAGGAAACTTGGGGGATAGGGAAACAGCGTTACCCTTACTGAGATTCAAACTCTGAACTTTCCAGTTGCCAGCTGACATGCTACCAGTTGCACTACAAAGGCATGCATAAGAAGAAAATTCTTGTAGTCTTTTAGAATTTTTTTTAAAGCCAAAAAAATGTGATAAATCTGTGATACTGTCGCAGGAATTCATAATCCAGACCTTTTAATTGCTGTGGATGTGTTACCAACCTTCATATCAAAACTTGTGCACCAGATATCTCATCAAACTCTTGTTTGAAACTTGTGAACCAGGAAACTTAATTTTAAAGCTTTCAGAGTATTATTATTATTATTTTTTTTAATATTTGAGGGATAGAATATTGCTTAATAATAAAAAAAAATCATGCTCAGTGAAAAATATATTTTACATCTAAAAAGGGGAAGGTAGCTGCGAACAACAAACTAGCACCATATTGGTACATTTTTACAGATTATATATGTTGTAAGCGTATTTGTTCTTAGTATTGCAGTGAGCAGAAACATCTGAATTGACAGAATCATGATCACAATAAAATAGATGGAATTAGAAAATGTATGCTTATTTGTATAAGCAGATTTGGGACATTTATTGTTGCTATCAATTTGTTTTTAGGGAGCTGTTACACTCTGAACATATTGACGTTAGCTACTTTGCTGCTGGCATTATTGCACATTTAGCTAGCGAAGGAGAAAATTTCTGGAATTGCAACTGCATTTCATGGAATGATGTGATTTTAGAGCTAGTGAGTAAAGTAATCGTTTGTATTGCGTACTTTTATGCAACATTAAAACTAATATTTCTTATTTCATCTATATATATATATTCTTAATTTTTGAATAATTCTAATATGCTAGTTATAATATGCATATTATTTATGTAAAAAATGTGATTGCATGAATGAAATATTTTCTTTTAAGGTATAATTTTTAATTATTATGATAAGTTAAATTATTATTAATAAACTTATTATTAAATATATTGTCTTTTATTTTATTTTTAGTTCCATTTTATACTTTCATTTAATTTTGATATCATCAAATTAAGCTATAATAGAATTAATTTGTCTTAAGTTCAAAATCCTATTCATTTAATGATTAGCTTTTGTGTGTGTGGGAGTGAGTGAGATCTCTAAAGGAATACTTAAAATCTTGTAAGTGTATTAAAGTAAATAAATGAAAATAAAAGTAATGTTGGAAAATTTATGAGGGTAGCCTATAATGTGCACTTTCAATAGTTTTCTTGGTAATAAAGTAGTTAAACAACCAGTAGGCTTAGTTATACTCATCAAACAAGTTCCTGTTTGTTGGAGGGGGAAAAGTACTATAATGAATTAAACTCTGTATATTAAACTTAGTAGGAAATTTTAACTTTGATTTTAAATTTAAAAAAAGTCCTGATTTTAAATTTTAAAAAAGTCCACGCATTTATGTCCAAGCAACATTCAGATTAAGCATATTTCATTTGAATTTGTTTAGAAATTCAATGGTATTTCTTCATAATTCGGTCATATCTATATCATTATGTTATATCATTATCTACTATGTTCTATACTGAGGCACAAGCCAAGAATCATAGAATTTAATGTATTTTATATTTCTCTTTTGCTGCTGCTATTTGTAACAGTGAATTTTCCTTTCTAAATGTTGTAATTTTTTAAAAGTGTATACAATTTTGTACACAGATAACAATAAACGTGTATGGAGTTTTATAAAACTATCCTTAAGGTAAAAACTAGATAATAAAACCAACAGTGAACATCGAAATTTTGAGCTTTCATCAGATGGCTGAATAAATTTTCCATTATACACTGAGAGTTGAAGAACTGGGAGAAGATAATTGCATCATCACTATATTAAACCTGTAGAACATTTAAATATTTTGATTAGTTAAACAGCATTTAATAGTTTTACATATTGAACTGATATTTTTCTCAATTGTTAATTATTTTCTTTAACTGTGAAATTTTTATTTACAGTGATTAGAATAATTGATAATTTAGGAATTATTATTTTAGGGTTCTACCATTGCTTGTTGGAGTGTGCCAGAAACGGAAATGGTAGCTTACAGGTACTTTTTTTAAAATAAGTTTTAACATAAATAATAATTCCATTGAGTTTCGCAATTAAAAAATTTTGCTTCACATATAGAAAGTATAATATATGTGAAAATATATTCTTAATCTTTGAAAGTTATAGAAATTTTTTTATGTTCATGTTTTATTATTTGTAACACATAATTTTTTTTAAATACTTATGATTTGAATTTTATAGTTATGTTTAAATTTTCCATTGAAAACATTTTTTATAATGTATAATGTCTCTGTAGAATTCTTTAAGGTTATAGAGTTTTCTTCTTTATCATTGGATGTTTCTATTTGGAAATTCATGTATGAAAAACCCTTGAAACAGTTGTAACATTTGAATTATTCAATGCCAGAATTACCAGTTAATAAAGAAGCATTGTAAATTTGCTTATTAATTATCAAAAGCTTCCATTTGTTTAACATTAAATAACCTTTTTTCTTAAACTGTACTTAATGCTACTTAAAATTCAATTTTAAGCTGCATTTTGATATAAACTTTTTTTTTTTTTTTTTTTTTTTTTTTTTTTTGATACCGCTATCTTACAAAACTAAGTCCATCTCCTACGATTGATTTAAATGAGAAATGAGCTAAGTACTTCTTCTTTAGTTTTATTAATATTACATTTTTATTTATGTTTTTAGGTCTTTTAATCCCTTCTATCCACTTTTCTCATGTTCCAATGCTTATCAGGTACAACTTTGGGCAGCATGGGCAATTTATCATGTGTGCCTAAAAAATTGTAAGTATTCAAGCATTGTGTACCATATAATCAATAACAAAAATATTTAATTTACAAATAAAATATGTGATATATAAAAGTACAAAATAGACAGTTGCCTGCTTATTAAATATCATACTAAATATAAACATTTAAAAACATATCAGTAATTTTTTAATGAATAAGTTTATTAGGGATTTCACATAGACTGCATTATATATTCATTTCCTGCCTGGTATCAGTTAATATTTCTTAACTGATAGAATTTTTTTAAGAACTTTTGGCTAGGCTGGGGGAGAGGAGGTAAAGATATTCATATTTATTGATTATAGTATAAATTATTTGTCAGATAATAGATGTAATACAGTACATCAAAAAATGGTCCACACAGGTAGTGGTGCACTAGCTTTAACTGTGCCATATTGCAGGCACAATGGGCACTACAAAGCGTAGTATCTGCCTTTGCTTCTTTCCATGTTTAGTATATTATGACACTTCATCTATTAAAAAATTTTATATTACAATAATTGTTCGTTGAATAATTATCACCAATAAAGTAACATATCCATAATTGGGACAAAGCAAACTTGTGAACGCTGTGAAAATGGGAGTAATTCTTAATATTTAAGATTAACTGCTGTTTTACTGACTTTCAGTGTAGAACTTCCAATTTGCTCTCTTTATCACGCTAGGATACCCTCTTTCTCCCTCCCCCAGTTATATATGGCTAGAATGCCAACGTAAATTGCAGTAGTTCTTAGCTTTTACATTTTGGTTTGGTTTCATATGAAGTATAAAACATATTACGATTGACACTGTAGTTTATTATTAGTAAAATGTTAAAAAATTTAGAATTTGTGCTGAAAAAAATTAATAAAAATGTCTCAGTAGAGTTCTTACTGAAGTTGCAATCAACTACTAGTCAACTTAAGAAAAGGTGTTTACATAAATTAAGAAAAAATCACAAAAATCATGATTACTGAAAAAGTTACATGTAGAATTTTATGAAACTTACCCACAATATACAACACATAGTAAGGTATCAAATAACATAAAAAGAAATTACTAGTCAATTATGGTAGTATAGAAATTAGCACATGTATAAAATTAACAAATCGAAGATGTCAGTTCGCTATAGTAAAAGTACCTTCAATATGGAATATAATCGCCTCTAGAAGCAATACAGCACATTCAGCGATGTGTGATGCTTTCAATTATGCGGTCTATCAAATCTATAGGAAGCGAGAACCATTGCTCTTGCAAAGCAGTTGCAAGCACAGCAAGGGTCTAAGGAGACGGATTGAAAGCAGCTAAACATCTCGCTAAAGCATCCCAAATTTGCTCGATAGGATTCAAGTCCGGGGATCGAGCTGACCACTCCATGCACATAATTGTTTCCTGTTGAAGATAATCATATACGATGCGAGCCCTGAATGGTCTCGCATTGTTGTCCTGTAACAGGAAAGCATCACTTATTGCCTCGGCATATGGGCGCACATAAGCATCAAGGATGTCATCTCTATAAACATGAGCATTCACAGTTCCCCTTGGAAAAACATGTAGGTCTGTGTGTCCACCCAAAGAGATGCCACCCCAAACACAGACACTGCCTCTTCTGTATGCATCTCTTTCACAGATGTTTGATGGATGATAACGGGTTCCAGGTTCTCTCCATATCAAATAATGCCTGCTATCGCATTCTAGACTAAACCTGGACTCATCTGTAAAGAGAATAGCCCTCCATTGCTCAGGCATCCAGTGAACATGCTGTTGTGCCCACTGTAAACGGTCCCTCATATGGCATGACTTGATCAGCATGCAAATGGTTGTTCACCTTGCATACAGACCACCTTTGTGAAGCTTTTTACGCACAGTTGACGTTGTCTCCAACCTTCTGGTGGCTGCAGCAAGGGAGGATCTAAGAAGAGTCGGAGTAGCGGTTCTATTCCTAAGTGCACATAATGTCAAATATCGGTCATCGGCGCTCGTCGTAGCAGTTGGCTGTCCTTGCCTGAACCTCCTAGGTGCCGAATCTGTGATTTGAAATTGCCTCCAAAGTCTATGAACCACAGAAGGACTCAAATTTAGCCATCTGACCACTTCTGTTTGACTTTGTCGTGCCTCTAGTCTCCCAATGGCTTTCTGTCGTAGTTCTGCAGGCAAATGATGCCTGGAGATCATTGTTACGAATTGGCTATGTCAGATTTCTGATGTCACTATCACACAGTGAAATATGTGGACTTTTTCTCAAACATGGACTTTTATGCTCCTCGCAGATGACGTATTCCGAGTGCAGCGCCACTAATTTGCATATTGGAGTTTTACTCAGCTACTCTTACTTGGCAACATACTCAAATTTTACACGGTTTGGCTTATTTTTGAGGGAGTTATCACTATTTTTGTGATTTTTCCTTAATTTATGATAACCAGTGTATTAATGGACATTTTTCTAGTCTTGGAATACAAATTAATAAAGAAAACTGAGATGAGTAAAACAGCTTAAAAATTTAATTGTATAAAATACACCCAAAAAGTGCTACAGGATTTAAATTTACAAAATGAACTTTTATTTAGTTAGGCATAAATTGGTTAACTTGGGACATACTTTGAAAGAGTAAATACTCTGGTTAAATATGACAAATAATATCTGGCAGATGTTCTTCACTTCTTATGACACTTGTGCAATCTATTGACAAAATTTGTAGTCGCATTTTTGCAGACTTATGGTTCAGTTGTTGCAGTAACTCATCGGATTTCTTCTTTAAATTCAGGAATTAGTATGCATAAGCTGTAAGCCATTGACTTAACAAATCTGCAGACATAAAAGTCACATGGTGTAAGAATGGTTTAATAGCCAATTATGATCATTGTTGTAAGAAATCATCTGCCCATGAAATTTCTGCTGTAACAACTCAATGGTTTCATATACTGACTGACATATGTGCCATCTTCCTTAGAAAATGATCTCGTCATCATCAAAGCTAAATTACTTGGCTTACAATTGAAGCCACAAAAAATGCTTTTATTGTCTTATGATAATGTAAGACAGTAAGAACTACAGAGTGTCCGGATGCATTTCTTAAATACAGCCTAATAATTCCACCATACCAGCATGCACACCACAAAAATACTCATTGGAAATAAATCACTGTTTTTTCAGCAACATGAGGATTTTCTGTGTCACAACTGCAACAGTTCTGCTTATTTATATACCCATCCAGATTAAAATACACCTCATTACTAAAGATTATTTTCTTAGCCTCCCACTTCCAACCCAATCAACAATTGCCTGTTGCTTTACATGTTTTTAGCTTAAGCTGTTGAATCTTGTATGGGTGCATATGTAGATCTCTTGCCATAATTTGCTGTATGGTACTCCTTTTGAAATGGCTGACTTAAGAGATCTGCTGTGAATTGACGTTCTCATACACTCAGTGACACTTAACACTCACAGCAGCAATATGTTCAGCTGCGTGCCCAATACAAGGACAGCTACTTTTATTGCTCATCACTAAACCTGTTTGTTTAATTGTTTGAATCACTCCTTTTACAAGATGAATTTTTCTGTCCAAACATTCTATGTAATGTCACATAGTTTCTGTTAAACAATCTCTGTATTTGTAATATGTTTTCATGATAGTTACATGCTCCTACAATTTTGTATTTCACCGTCATGACTTACTCATCATGACTATTGACCAGAATGTGATTACTATAATTATGTTTTTCACAGAGCCTTACAAGAAAAAATAGCATACAATTTAAATCCTGCATTAAGACACCCTTTATTTATACATTGCTTATATCTGTTAATGCTTACTTAAATTATTTGTTGTCGATAAAATTTTTCATCTGTGTAAAGTTAGAGATTGTGAACCCTCTCATCTCTGTAGATAACAGCTTAAAGTGACTGTATTTCTGTGAACATAAATAAACATTAGTATTAATAATAACAATAATGTTGCAAAATGCCAGCTGTGGTGAGATAGCTTCCCAACAGAGCAGTGTTAGAGTTGCCAGAAAGTAGCAGGGTTGTCAGATTTGGTGCAAAATCTCCCATTTGCTGCCATAGATGGAGGGAGAAGATACTAGTACACATTCTTAGCTGTTTCCTCGGGAGTACTCTCGAAGGTAGGTTAAACTTATAACCCTGCCTGTCCTGGGAGAAAGTATCTCGAGTGCAGTAGTCTTGATTTCAGAGATAGCTTGAGAGCAATTGACTAAGTCGGGAGATGTACTGTAGTGCATTGCTGTGAAGCTGTCTTCACTGTTATAACATGAAAACTGTATTGCTGATTGTTTCAGCATATTTATCATAGTTTTTCGATGACTGTAAACGTGTCTTTGGAACTGTCATGTGTAATACTGGCAAATAAATTGTGTTTTGATTCTTCATCAAGTGTTATTATCAATTACTCCAAACCCACGAACCCGTGGAATGTAGCAATAATAATAATAATCTATGAGAATATCATTTCCTTATTTGTATAAGAACTTCAAATATGTATTAATTCAAACATCCAAAATGTCAAATTTTCTGAAATATTTTATGTCATTAATAAATTAAGGAATTATATTTACTATAAAAATAAAACTGTTTCTATGACAAAGAGTAACTAATCATCATTAATTATCCGTTCTCAATGTAGTAAAATTTATGGGTTGATTATGCATTGTTTAGATGATTTATCGTGTTTCTACATTATTTATGCAATGCAAAGACCAAAATCCAGACTTTCAATATCCAGACCACTGGCCAATAAATAAATAAATAAAATAAAATAAATAAATAAAAGCCTCTCTCCACTTACAAAATCTAGGAATGTAGGTACATAAGCAAGCAAGTGAAATTTTTTTTTACTGACCAACATTTCTGCATGTCACTTTCAAACACCTGCAACTAAAGAGTCGTAGCCAGTAACAATGTGTTGATTGATATTGGCCATAAATGCACTTTCATAAATTCAAATAATTTTACTGCACCTAAATTCAGCTACTTGGTTCCTCTTCTAAATTTTAAA